ACTTCGGAAACGTGGCACGAGAGAATCGAGAGTGCGTCTTGGGGCTGCAAAAGCGCGTTGCCTCTGGCGTCAATTCATAGGTTGACCCGTGGCCGTTTAAAGACGTGTGAAGACCACGTGTCATTCGTGTTCACAATGCTGCTTGCGTGCGAGTCCAAGTGTTGAGGTTGTTCGTCCACCTCTGTGGGGTCAGGTGGAGAGATTGGAGAGATATCTTCCGCACATCAACCGCCATCGACAAGAGAACCTGAGGATTGTGAGTGATTCGAGTTTCAAACGATATCACATAGTATTGTTATTATTGTTCTTGGTTCTTTCGGTAGTCACGTATAAGGGAAATAATAAAAGAATAAAAAATAAAACATAATATTTTATTATTTCCCTTCTACGTGACTTTACCGAAAGAACCAACAAGATGAATCCCTGCAGTCACGAAAGCTTTAAATCCAAATTGTTATTATTGTTGTGTTTGCTTGCTTGCCCAGGTAAAGCCTCGCCGAGTCTCAAAACTCGTTTTCAGGAGGGTCCTGCCAAGTTTGTTTTTTTTTCGCAGTAAGGGGCGATGTTGCTGCTGCTGCTTCTTCTGTGTGATCCTAAATGAGTAATTTGCAGCTTAATTTTCAGCATTGGCATGTTTGGACAATAACCAGTTGTATTGTACGATTTCTTTTCGAACAATGGCGGGGATATTTGAAACCCATGAAGAACAGCAGTAGTACATACTCCACACTGAAAGGCACCCGAGTCGGGGAATCGAACCCATACCCCTTCTTGCCTATTCTTAGGTTTTTTCGGTAAAGTCACGTAGGTAAAACATCAATCGGAGGCACCTCCGATTAGCACGGTTGGCTATGTACTGTGCGAAATAAGTTCAACATAATACATATCCATATCCGTACGTTACCACTGCACTGCCCTGGCACATATGTGTGTGCGCTCACAGGCATAAGCAGGCCAAGTCTGGCACTAACACCGTGTGCTTTATACATTTACAAACGTAAGGTAAATGTTGGAATACAAGTGTGGAGTGGGACACACAAATACGTGACCAATTGTCATAGTTTTTACTGGCAAATGAGGTTCCAATGGTGTAAATGCTTACCCCGAGCTCTCATACTCTGATGGTGTATTGTCTTTGAGTTGTGCGCCTTTTGGCGTCATCTGGTCCAACCCATGTGAGACTAGGCTCTAAGGAAAGCTGTCTCGGGTGTGGACCAATTAACTTCAAGGACAGTGCATACATTATCAGAGTTGTGTTTTTTGTTTGCATTATGACTGCAGGTTTTGTGGTCTATGCAAACATGACTCCTTGTAAAAAGGTGTCAGTTTTGTTGCCAGATAGAAGGGTAAAAAACCAATTATCATATTTTTACTGGCAAATGAGGTTCCAATGACGTGACGTGTAGTCCAGGTGGACGTACGCATTGTGCGTTTGTGAATAAGGCCGATTCCGTGGCAACGTAAATACAAAAACAATTGAAATGCATTCAGGCGACGCTCACCAACCTGCTGTGCAGAGACACAATAATGTTTTATTATCCATATGATGGCACAAATAATAATAATTGTGTAAAATGGTTGGCGGACCTTGTTGTCCCATCCGTTTGCAGGAGATTGAATGCTTGGAAAAACAGATGCTGTTCCTAAACCAGCGGATGGAGGTAATTATGTTATTAATCATGATTGTAGAATTCATAAGAGGGTTTTTTTGGGGGGGTTAGATCGCGTAAATATATGAATGTGTCGTTAAAACCCGCCACTACCCGACACAGCCAACTAGTAAGGGTTGTCACGTAAACAGAATGTGGCCTATTCGTCACTATTACAGCACTAACCGGTTGTGTGTTGGAGAGCCAAGCCACAACATTTACAATCTGCTCTTTGGTTCTTCTGGTAAAGTCACGTAGAAATTTTTTTTAAATATAATACGACGTTTCGATTGCAACACAAGCAATCGTCATCATGTAGAACTAAATTTGAGAGAGAGAGACAAAACACAGACACGGAGACACACAGACAGACACACAAGCAGAGAGAGGCAACACAGAGACACAGAGAGAGACACACAACACGGAGACACACAGAGAGAGACAACACAGAGACACACAGAGAGAGACACACACAGACACACAAGCAGAGAGAGACAACACAGAGACACACAGAGAGAGACACACAACATAGACACACAGACATTTACAATCTGAGTACGACGTTTCGCCAGTAATTACAACTAGCTTCATCAGGCGACAGTCAAATTTGTATTAAACTGATTGTATATTTCTTTTCACGAAAACAACAACGCCGTTTGCGAGCACCTATTAAGGCTGGCATTGTCCCCGCATGAGTTCCGTGTCGCCAATGCCACGCGAAACCGAGCCACCTCTGTGCTCCACAGTGCTGACAATGCGACTGCGAACTCATTTCGGGCTGAGGTGACCTAGAGGGGGCCCAAACCAAGTTTGGTAGCATACCCAATAGCCACCGGCGTTCGTGGGTGGCTGGCAATCGAGGCAAGGTTGTCGAGATTGTGCAGCATTGCCCTACGACATCCATCCACTCGCACACATCACCTTGTGAACGTCATGTTGAGTGAATAACTGGTATCTTGGACTTGATTTGGGCTCTCTCCAGGTCAAAGGTTTTCCAGGTCAAAGGTTTCCCAAACGCCAGTCCTCGCGACCCACCCAACTTTGTCTTTCCGCATTCACCAAATTACTCCCCCTTCAAATACTAATCAACTCTCGATTTAAAGCTTTCGTGACTGCAGGGATTCACCTTCTTGGTTCTTTCGGTAAAGTCACGTAGAAGGGAAATACTAAAAATAAAACATAATTGTATTTTATATTTTATTTTGTTTAATTTTTATAAAATTATTATTTCCTTTCTACGTGACTTTACCGAAAGAACCAAGAAGACTAATTAACTCGCTCCACGCTGCACGCGCCCGATGATTGTTCAACACGTCCCAAGTGACACGCCAAGCAATCATCTGCATCACGCGGACATGTGTACACACGGAACACCTGTGCACACACACACACCCACGGCTCTATTTACGCAATGGTAGTAGCACGGTTGGCTACGTACCGTGCGAAATAAGTTCAACATACGCGACTAACTTAGGTCCACCCTAAATTCTCCCAATGCGTGCGATTTGAAATCACTGAGATGCGGGTGGGGCAGGACGTGGGGCGGTAATGTGTGGGCGTACCGTGCACGACACTCGGTAGGCGTTCGTATCACGCTTTCGAATGCGCCCCTTTTTTATTTTTCAAACTTTTATTTAACTCACTTTGTCTGTTGTATCTTCAAAAAAGAAATCTTGAAACTCAATTTTTAAGACGTTTTTATTGAACTCACTTCGTCTGTTGTATGATTTGTATCCTCCAAAAAGAAATCTTGTAACTCATTTTTTACCCACTTCCCAATGTGCTATCGACTGCAAACTTGGTATAGGTATGTCATACTGATTACAACACGATATTCTATCATTAAAAATGCAAAACATATATTTTAAAACTTTTTACACGCTTTTATTTAACTTACTGCATGTGTTGTATCCAAAAATCTTGTAACTCAATTTAAACCGTATTCCCAATGTCGTATCGACTGCAAACTTGGTATAGCTATGCCATACTGATGACAATACTATATTCTATCATTAAAAATAAAAATATATGTTTAAACAATCGTTTTAACGGCTCTAATTGCCCACGCTCAACTGACGTTGCCTGTAAATCACCACGGCCCCCTTTCGTTACGACAAGCTTCGGGGCCACTTCCTGGAGTCGTGGAGTTCTTCCATTACTAGTACGGTGCATTAAAACACTTTTTAAAAATATATTACTTATTAATTCTGGGACGCATCTACTACTCACCACGGCGTACAGCGCCAGAAGCGTGCGTTTTCCACAGCTGTAAACTCCTCTTGCGGTGCTCTGCGTGAACCAATGCTGCCTACGCACGCACACACGTGGCGTTGAGTCGGCGCGCTGTGATCTTCCCTCCCCATGTGTGCTGGGTCAGACCGCAGAGTCTCTCGGCTGGAAGGGGATGATCAAGCGGGCGCCGCTGTGGTGACGGATCCCCCACTTTGTCCGCGGGGAGCGACCTCGCGCGCCTCTCTCGCAGCCACACTCAAGTTTCAGAGCTGGGCCGTGAGATTATTTCAGCAATATATTCGTAGAGTCAATTGCCAGGTCCAATTTTACCATGCGAGATCTAGTTTTACCGTGGGGGATCCAGTTTTACTATGGGAAGTCCAGTTTTACCATGGGAGTCCAGTTTTACCATGGATTTCCAGTTTTACCACGAGAGTTCAGTTTTAACATGGTAAGTCAAGTTATACAATGGCAGTCAAGTTTTACCATGGGAAGTCAAGTTTTACCATGGGAAATCCAGTTTACCATGGCAGTCCAGTTTAACATGGGCAGGCGTCGATAACCTGCTTTGTGACGTTACGAAGGACCACCTCCCTTTCACATGTATTGCGCCTCTTTAAATATTGAGTTTTTTACCGAATAAAAAAAATGTCTCGTTATTTTGGTTACCAACCCCTAGTCTAAGTCGAAGTGGGAATAACTGCAATTAGCATGAAATTGTATCCATCATGAAACTTTTTATTTTAAATACTTACCGGCAATGTTATAATTGGTGTCCCTATAACCCACCGTGAATACATTCTCCTATGTTTATTTATAACATGTCATGTTTTTTGTCGTGTATATTTCTCGATTAAAATTATGAACAGAGATAATGGTAAGCCATGATCGCCAACATCTTTGAAATAAAGGCATGGCACACGAGGGGGTGGGTGGCCAGCACCACGCCCGGCCGCTAGTGGCGATATTTATACACTGCACCAGGTACTCATTTGAGGCTGAGACGACCTAGGGGAGGCTCAGAACCAATTGAGATAATCGTCACTGGCGTTGGCCGTGAGCGAGAATCGAACTCGGGTTGCCGGGTTCTTAGCGCAACACACTAACCGTTGCACACACACATGCACAATGACACAGTTGGGTAGTAAAATCTTTATTTACAATTCCGCACAGCATTTGTGATCAGGCAACAACGGGGGCAGACGTGACACGATTAGTGAGATTCATATCGTTATTAGTGGGAGTGGTGGTGGTGGTGATTCAGTTGGGCAAACCACTCTTTACAGACTATCATGGGATGTCATCTGACGCCCGGTGAGACAGCTCCACCGAGTAATGCCTCTCGAAGTGTGGCATAACGCACGACCCTCCGCTGACTGCAGGACCCGCAGAGGGGTGGTAACGACGATATTAGGAAGCCACTGGAGCTATGTGCTTACGAATCTAGATTAAAAACTAATTTATTTTAGAACTGCCTTTTGGGTTTAGTTTGTTGTCCTTCCCCCGCACCGCCGATTAGCGCGGTTGGCATCGTACGGTTCGAAAGAAGTTCAACAAGCACATACGACGCGGCACCGATAGCGTAACAAGTCACAATTCGTGCAATAATGCTAAATTATAGAATTCCACACGTGATTTACCAGTTTACTCCACACAGGGCTTTTTTCTTCTTCTTCCAAACACGATTCACACGTTAAAAACCGGCACAAAGTAGCGGTCCATTTTTTTTCTTTCTCTCAACTCCTCTTTTTGAACGGTCTCTTTTGGAACGCGCGCCAGCAGACGCGTCCACGCGGGAGCAACGTTTCGTCACGCGCCCACAGGTCACACGCACACGGCGCACCCAAAACAGAACTCTTACAAAGCCAAAGACGGTCGCATGAACGCAGCATCACGATATTCAAGTCGTGTCCTGGGGGGACAGGGGAGGGCAGGGGAGCCCTTGTGAATGGGGGAAGTTGAAACGAAAAAAGGTTGGCCGCATGCCCGTGCATACGTATGCGTGGGGAGGGGGGGGGGTGACAAAGTCAGTCCTCCAGCAGAGGGCTCATTTAATCTCGCCACGTGAACAGGAAATCACCCCGCACCCTGGTCGAGGTGGAATGGGTAAAGGTGCAGCCCCCTGCCATTGCCCGCTCACGTGACTGCTGGTGGAAGGGCTTACACTAGAGGAAGCCCTCTAGAGAGAGATCCTCTCTCTCGAGGGCATTTGGCCTACTCTAGCAATGCTGCTGGCCCGAAATTCTGGTGAGAGTACTCGCACTTTACCCTGCCATTCGTGACCTACTGCTCGATTGCGGCGTTACCCATTTATGGCAGGAGGGGAGATGGATTTAAGAAATCTGCCCATTGTTTTGATTTCCACGCCGGGAGAACGAACCGACGACCTCTGGATTGCAAGTCGAGTGTGCTCACCATGACAGCATCCCAGAGGTGGGATAATATGCACAATTTACCCCGCCACAAGGCACACACATTTAACCCACGTGAACGGAGGCAATGTCCGATGACGAATTTCAATTTGTTTAGCAGTCTCAGTTGGGACCTCATATTGGTACATTTGGGGTTTGTAAAATTCTCATCACCGCCATCACTTTGGGGTTGGCAAACAATCAGTACCATCTGATGAGGCTGCACCGCTGCATGCAGTTAAGTCAAACAGTTGTCACCCTATGGACAAACTGTTCCCTGCCACAGGAACATGGAATTGCTGGTAACAGACGAGCAACTTCGTGTGCTTGGTGCAGCATGGGGTAATCCCGACGTTTTGATATTTTACTAACACTAAACTAACTAAACTTTTTATTTTACCAGCGAAGGCCCACTGAGCTATATACAGCTCTTTTTCAGAAGTGACCTGACCACAACTTATAGCTCAACTTAGTGGCTTATCGTGTGGAAATGTATAGCAGCCATATACTCTAAAAGCATGTTTCTAAATGTGGAGGGAAAAACCGGAGGACCCGGAGAAAAATCCACATGACCACGGGTTGGATCGAACCCACGACCTCCTGCATACCAGGCGAAGTAGTTAACATCTCACAAGCGTGACTGCCACTACCGTGTACGTCTGTGTGCGTATATGCGTGTAGCCGCGTACATAACTGTGCACTGGGCAGCAACTGCATGTGCGCGCACATGAACACAAGCAGTGGAGAGCGACAGCGTGCTGCTTGGCGCACTGTGCCACAACGCGGCGACCCAAGTTAAATTTCCGCCTACATCAGCGGTGGTCATCTGAACAGGTCCTGGGCCTCCCCTAGGTCGACTCAGCCATAAATAAGTACCTGGTGCAGTGTCTAAAAACCAGCACTGGTGAGACAAAGGCATGATGCTGGTCACACGACCCCATTGTGTGCCATGCCGGCCTTCGTAGGCTGCTCGCTTACACAGCTCTTGCTCTTAGGACCTGGATCGGCTACACAGTGGGAGTGTGGTGGGGGGGGAATCTGTACATAAGTCTAGCACAACGCGCGCGCACACACACACAAGCTGCATAAACGCGCTGCGCTGCGCGTGCTCACGATGCAGGCGTACGCGTCGCGTCGGAGCCGACGCGCCTAAGGTCACGCGCGCCCGCACGACACACACACTTTGCACTCAAAGACGTAAACATTGAACTCTTCCGTGACGGACGGCATGAGCACGCGTCAACGGCGAGCGGCAAGGCAAGCCATGCGGACGCTCTACCGAGCCATTACATTTCTTACGTAACGAGTGGTGCACTCGCCACTAGGCACATTTTTGTGAGTTCCACGATATAAAATATGTTATGCGATCATTTGATTGTTCCTTGATTTCAAGCGACGAATTTGCGCTTCCCACTGCTTTCCTAAGATGTACGGTTTTGATTGGTCGTTTGTAAACAACAGATATGAGAATGATAAAGGTTTCAGTGCCTTAGGCACAAAACTGCCTTATGCAGTTTTGTTTTTAAAATCAAGTTTGCCTTAGGCAGCTTTCTTTTTTCTTTAAGCCCAGCGTACACGAGGAAGCATGTTCCCAGAGACATTATATATATATTTTTTTTAAATTAAGAAAAAAGTGTGCTTTAACTATTTTCGAAATAATGTTTTCTTCTGTTTTAAGTAACACGACGTTTCTTTACAAGTCTAAAAAAAACATCTTCAGGAAACCCTTTCAAGCGGTGCATTAGTTACGATTCAACAGCTTGTGGGGCCAAAGGCAACATGATTTTTTTTAAAGGTTCTCAAACACCTCTAGTTTTTTTCCCCGCTGCACAACCGAGCCAGTCCGGGGCCACGCCGAACCAAGCCGGACACGGATCAGGAGACCCCCAAGGCTTGGTTTTCCCACTGCAGAAGCCGAGGCGTGCCGTTGACGTCACACGTCACACGCTCGAGTCGAGATGCGCGCAGGCGATGCAGACTGTGTGACGTCATTACACCCCCCCCCCCTCCCCCGCCGCCTCTGGCCCTGCTGGGCCACCGGCCAGATTCAGACGTCTTGCGAGAACAGCGTGCGGCGGTTTGCTTCTGGGGCTCGTGTCAAATGCCCGGCGGAAGATCACCCGTAGTTAGAGCAGAGGGCCCTGCACTGGCTCAGCTGGAAATGGGGATATCAAGGTGGAACCCGGGCCCCCTGCCTCAGGAAATGCGTTCTTTGTTTACCGTAACACGGATATGTGAGCACATGCGGGGAGGGGGGGGGGGGATAATTTTGGGCGGAAACATTTTCTGGGCTTTCGAAAAAAATCAACTGCAGAAGCAATTGGTAAGGCCAAGGCAAAATGTACGTTAAGAAAGATAAAATAGAAAAATCAGATTTCATTAAAAACTGCGATAATTTTTTGGCAGCATTACGGATTCCAGCTTTTGCTCATTTTTATTTAATATTTCCTTTTAATATTTATCAACAGTATTATTATTAAAAGCTCCACGCAACGGGGGTCACGGGACACTGTGCTGATCCCGTACTCTCTTAACTGCACTTCTTGGATTGATTGATTCCGTAGCTGGAACCTTTGTCGATTTCCGTGACGCTGATGAGCTGGCGGACCCCCACCGACGCTGCACACCAGAGAACGGAGGCACAAACGGTGAAAGCGACAAGAGGTTAAACTATACATATGTACGTACGTATATTGAAATACTTTCACACCGTACTTAGTCAACCGTGCTAGGGGGAAGGACAACAAACTCAACACAAAAAGCAGTTCGAAAGAAACGAGTTTTAAATCATCTAGATTGAAAAGTGCGTAGCTCCAGTGGCTTCCTAATATCGGAAGAAAGAGCGTTCCAGACGGCCTCAGAAGCGCATTTGAAAAGTGCGCGATGCGGTGAGCGTCTTTGTTCGATGGCCAACCAGAAGCCGCTGCTGCTGCTGCTGCTGCGCGGATGATAACCGGAGTTCGCGTGATGATGGTCCTTGACGACATCAGCGAGGTATCGTGGTTCATTTGTGGCAAGCACTTTGTGTGTGTGTGTGTGTAATGGGGGCTTAATTTCCCACTGAATAAATACATAAAGCATACGGTGTAAGTTCCGGACTTGGCCTACTTATGCCTGTGCACGCGCACATTTGGCAGAGCGGTGCAGTGGTCACGTACGTACGTTATGTACAGTACGTGGAAATTCTTTCACACTGACCTGTAGCCAACCGTCCTGATCGGAGGTTAAATATTTACAGGGTCTCCCAAACGCTCTGGGAGTGCTCACAAGGCACCACCACCACACTTAACACGCTTATACAAAGACAAAGATCCCCCGCTCCCCATTTAGCCTGCATAGATTGCTGGGTCAAGTGCTGTTAACTATTAACTGCAACTATATTTATTTTACCAGGTAAGGCTCGCTGAGCTGTATAGCTCTTTTTGAAAAGTGACCTGGCCACAAACAAAAGCCCAACGAAGTGGCTCATCATCACGTAGACATTTGTAACAGCCAAATACTCTAAACGCGCGTTTATAAATGAGGAGGGGAAAAACCGGAGAACCCGGACAAAACTCCAGATGACCACGGGGAGAGACACACAAACTCCAAATATACAGGCGTCAGGGTTGGGATCGAACCCACAACCTCCTGCATACCAAGCAAGGAATTTAATATCTCACCACCGCGACCACCTATGAAGGCCGGCACGGCACACAAAAGGGTGGGGGGCTGCCCAAGCAAACCCCCATCTGCCTTTGTCTCCCCTAGGTACTCATTTAAGGTTCATATATTTGCCACTGTTATTGGACCCCGAGCGGGAATCAAACTTGGGTCACTGGGTTCGTAGTGCAGTGGTTAGGGCACTTCCTATCTGTAACAGGGACAAAGATCCGCCATATAACGTTCACAGACTGTTAGAGGAAGTGCTGTTAGCGAGCACCTATTAAGGCTGGAAAGGCACACGAGGGGGTGGGTGGCCAGCACCACGCCCGGCCGCCTTTTGTCTCCCTAGTCGCGATGTTTACGCACCACACCAGGTACTCATTTGAGGCTAAGTCGACCTAAGGGAGGTCCAGGACCAGTTCAGATATTCGTCACTGGTGTTGGCCGTCAGCGGGAATCGAACTCGGGTCGCCAGGTTCGTAGCGCAGCGCGCTGACCGCTACACTATCGCCCCCCACAGAAAGAGACACTCAGTGGTGATGGGAAGAGACATGGAGGCAGCAGGTAGGGCAGGCAAGGCAGCAGTGGAGACCGCTGGTAGGCTGAGGAGGCAGCCACTCACCAGAGGTCGCAAACGGGTTTTGATTCCTTACCCGTACTCGTACCCGGCCGCACCAGGGCCGCAAATGGGTACCCGTACCCATACCTGGCTGGGTACGGGTAGCCGTTCCCTACCCGTACACGTACCCTACCCGAAATGAGGGACAAACGGCTACTCACCAGTGACTCACGGCCTACCCGTACCCGTACCCGGCCGCAGTAGGGTCGCAAACGGCTACCCGTACCCGGCCGGGTACCCGGCCGGGTACGGATAGCCGGGTATCGGGTAGGGTACGGGTATCGGGTACCCGGTTGCGACCTCTACCGCTCACCGGCGATGACGACGGCGATGAGCCCGGCGATGGCGAGGGCCGAGCCGCTCGTGGCAACGCCGGCGGCGAAGTGGAAGAGCGGCGATAGCAGCAGCGAGGCCCAGAAGGCCCAGTTGAGCGGCACCCACGGGCGCCTGGGTGGCTGGAACATCTGTCCCGGGAACTTGCCCGACTGCTCGTAGTCCTCCTGAAGATCATCCTAGAAAATATTTTGGTTTTGTTTTACACGTATTAAAACAAATATATTTTAAAAATACTAACAATTATATTTTAGCAGGTAAGGCCCACCGAGCTATATAGCTCTTTTTCAGATGATAGCCACAAAAAAATTAAACACGTAATAAACAAGTCTTGAAATGTACCGTGATTAAATACAACATACGTATGGCTTTAAAGTCATATAAGGTACCAACGATTGCCTTTATCAGTCGCACAATTTTATCATTTTAATTCAAGGCCCAAGGGTCAGTTTGCGAAATAATTGCAAATATCGGTCAGAGGAAGGCCTGTAAGAAGTAGCAGCAGAGCAATGTGTGTGCCGAGGGCAATGATTAACGGTCGACAGGGAACATCATGATGCAGAGTTGGATGAGAGGAGCTTCGAGTGCTGTTGGAAAGCTGACATACGGCTCAGAAACACGTCCATAAACGAAACAAATGGAACAAAAACTGAAAAGTGCACGCACAGCATGGAAATGCAAGCTTCGGATTACACCAAGAGACAGAAACAATGACGATAATGGGTAAACGACAAACCGCAAAATCAACCCCCGGGGGATGCTGGTGGTGGTGTTGATGACGATGTGGTCGACCAGGGTTTGAACTCGTGACCTTGCAATTGTGAAATTGTAAGGCTGGCGCCCAAAGGCGAGCGTTTTCACAATGGGAAATTTGTATTTACACTGGAGGAATCCGATTAGGTACAAAGCTCTCCTTCACAGACGCCTGACTTGGCGGGGCCGGCCACCACGCAGCACAGCGTGAGCGCAACGCGTCCGCCGCGCTTTGCGGCCACGGAAATAATTGTCCCGGACGCCGTGAATGGGGGACAACGACGAGGCGTAATGCAACGGCCGGTCACGTGTGTGCGCAGCCGCCTCGAGCAGATCGCGTGCAAGTTAATTTTACACGAGGCTCATTCATAATTGAAAGCCCTTGCCGGTTAAGTGGAAGCAAACGGTTTTTTTTTTTTATTCGCCTACGGCAGAGAACCACGGGCCTGTGACCGAAACACTTAGCTCCACTGGCTCGGCCCGGCTTCAGCGCTGGGTATTTAACGACGCGTAGATTCGTCGTCGACGCCGCGACAGCGGCCCAACGGTTTGCGCATTGGACTTGCGATCGAGGGGTCGTCGGTTTGATTCGATCTCCCGGCACGGCGGTCAAAACGATAAACAAGGGGGTGTTAAAATTGCTCTGCTAAGTTTGTTCCTGAAAGCAGGTCGCAGCTTTCCCTGTGTTAATACTGTTGAGGGCAGCATTTTGCTTTTTCAAGTGTGACAGATGTAACTTCCTCCTGTTCATGTATGTTACTGGTAGGAACCTCCTGGTTACACCAGCCCACAGGGGATTATTGTGTCCGTCGTGCAGGGAGGGGATGGGTGGGGAGGGAGAGGCTGGGTGGGGAAGGGAGGGGAGGGGAAGGTGGGGAGAGGTTGGGTGGGGAAGGTGGGGAGGGGCTTTGGTGGGGAGGGGAGGGTGGGGAGGGGCTGGGCGGGGAGGGGCTGGGTGGGGAGGGTGGGGAGGGGCTGGGTGGGGGGGGGCTGGTCACCATGTGGTGCCCTTATAAAACTCAACGTTTAACCTACTCACGCCGGCTTGTGCCCGCCCTCAGTCGGCCATATTTGCGGAATACACCACGCCGCCGTTGACCCTGGCCATTGACCGAGCAACCGAACGTTCCTACCAGCTCCCTCCGCAGGAATGTGTTAAAAAGGTCGTTTGCTGGGATTTGATTATTCTATTGCAATAGTGATCTACATATTATTTCTCCAAGAATGTTAACAATACATCGATCTCCTGTGTTCCGGATCCATCTCTCTCCCTAAGGGTACCCATTTGTGAACTGGACATCTGTAAAAAAAAAAAGCGCTTCATAGCTCATCGGATTCCTCCAGCATAAATAAAGATTCTGATTCTGAACTGCCAATCACAAACCTCCTTTTTTGCCGCTTGTTGCAGAGGTTCACGGTTCGAATCCAGCAGCGGCCGCCCTGGTTAATACTGCGGTGTGTAGTAACCGTAGTAACACTATGGCGCCGTCAGCTTTACAGAGGACGGTGCCGGTCAAATAAAAAAAATATGTACCATAAATTACACAAATGGGATCATTATACACAGCAGCAATCATCATCTCCTACTGCCAGATTAATGCCTCGTCTCTTGAATTCTCACCTGGTTAAACAAAATAAACTTGAAACCTGAAACTTGCCGCTCTCATGCTCCCATTTCTTGCTATGACATCTTCGGTCATGTTTGTTTCGTGTTCTCAAATTTCTTTTTCCAATTATTTTCCTCGTCGTTTTACAGAATGCCGTGCAGATTATCACATAGGCTTGCGCGACCAATATCATCCATAACAAAGGTTGTTTTGGGTTAGATCGCGTAAATATACAAATGTGTCGTTAAAACCCGCCACCACCCCGACACAGCCAACTAGTAAGGGTTGTCACGTAAACAGAACGTGGCCAATTCGTCACTAGTACAGCACACCGGTGTGTTGGAGAGCAAAGCCACAACATTTACCATCCGAGTACGACGTTTCGTCAGTAATTACAGTTATCTTCATCAGGCGACAGCCAGATTTGTGGAGAAATCATCCTGTTTCGTTCCTTAAATAGAGGGGTAGATGTGATGGCATCACTAGTGAGCACTTCTTGAGCGATGTGCATCGCAGCGCTGCAGGTGTGCACGACGACTTGGCGTGCGCGCAACTCGCCCATCTCAGCGCCAGCCAGGCCTCACCCCCCAGCTGAGCTTCTCAGATCTGATGCGATCTGGCACATCCCAGGCGATGCGGTCATAAGCAAAGAAGAGGATCATCATCATCATCACCATCGCCACTATTATCATTCTTATTACCTTCTCTTTGTAAAGCTTGTTGAGCCAGTCTCCACACTCCTTTTCATCCTCAGGGATCTCTTCCATCGGGATTCTCCTGGAAAAAAAATCAAAGAATCTTGGTGAACCCCTGGCAGCCTCTAGCGGTAGCAGTGGCAACAATGACGCCAGTGGTGGCGGTGGTGGCGGTGTCAGTAGTAGTGGTGGTGGTGGAGGTGTTGGCAGTGTCAGTAGTAGTGGTGGTGGTGGCGGTAGTGGAGGTGTCAGTAGTAGTGGTGGTGGTGGTGGATCTATTGGCAGTGTCAGTAGTAGTGGTGGTGGTGGCGGTGGTGGTGGTGTCAGTAGTGGTGGTGGTGGTGGAGGTGTTGGCAGTGTCAGTAGTGGTGGTGGTGGATCTATTGCCAGTGTCAGTAGTAGCGTCAGTAGTAGTGGTGGCGGTGGCGGTGTCAGTAGTAGTGGTGGTGGTGGCGGCGGTGTCAGTAGTAGTGGTGGCGGTGTCAGTGTTGGCAGAGTCAGTAGTGGTGGTGGCGGTGTCAGTATTGGCTGTGTCAGTAGTAGTGATGGTGGTGGAGGTGTTGGCAGTGTCAGTAGTGGTGGTGGTGGTGGAGGTGTTGGCAGTGTCAATAGTGGTGGATCTATTGGCAGTGTCAGTAGTAGTGGTGGTGGTAGCAGCGCTGTGCGTGGCGAGGCAGCCCCACACCTGACACACATGTCCGCCTTGTACGTGCGCCCGTACACCACGCCCAGCAGCGAGGGCTTCGTGTGGCCGCGGAAGTTGAGGGTGCAGTCGTAGATCGCCGGCACTGCACTCCGCATGCACACCACGGAAATGGCGATGATGATGATGATAATAATACAGGCACTCCTCTACTTACGAACGAGTTAGGTTCCAGAGGTCTGTTCGTAAGCCGATTTGTTCTTCAGTCCAACTTTACTCCTGTCAATTCCAGACACGTTGTACGGCATGTACACTAAACACAGGGAATGGCTTTAAACGTTGTATAGTCTCCTATAGATGTAGATGCCACTGGTTCTTCACGTTCTGCAGATGTAGATGCCACTGGTTCTTCACGTTCTGCAGATGTAGATGCCACTGGTTCTTCACGTTCTGCAGATGTAGATGCCACTGGTTCTTCACGTTCTGCAGATGTAGATGCTACTGGTTCTTCACGTTCTGCAGATGTAGATGCTACTGGTTCTTCACGTTCTGCAGATGTAGATGCTACTGGTTCTTCACATTCTGCAGATGTAGATGCCACCACCGCCAGTTGAACTTACGACTCTCGGTCCGAACAGGCAACTGGACATACAGACAGGTTTGTTTGTATCTCTGAAATTTCATAAGTCGAATGTCCGTAATGTACAGTGTACCCGTATGTATCTACGATCAAATCACTCACTCAGAATGCACCCTTTTCAAGCTCAGCAGGGTCGTACCTGAACAGCCCTTGCACACGCGATTGCCAAAGCATGACACAACAGGTGCGGGAAGGCTGATGCGGGGCTACGCTGTCAGCGGACAGCAGCGACGCAAACAATCCAAACGCTGTACTCGCACTGTGCTTTAACGTCTACGGCCCCAACCTGCACTGACCAACGACTGAAGGTGTCCCACAGCGGGGCGTGGGAAGAGCTTGAGTAGAGCGACGCTCGGCACGTGGGCCTAGCCCCGCCACGCCGGCACTGCGCGTCACGGCGAGGAAGCATGGACAATTCTATATTTGAAGCTTTCGTGACTGCAAGGATTCATATTCTTGGGTTTTTTCGGTAAAGTCACGTAGGTAAAAATTTTAAATTAATAAAAGTAAAATAAAAATAAAATAAAAATCATTTACTTGATACAGCAAGCGTGCTGTGACGGTTCCACCTGAAGACGGAGGCTTGTGTTGCCTCCGAAACGTCGTGATTTTTTATTTTATTTTTATTTTACTTTTATGAATTTTTATTTTTTACCTACGTGACTTTACCGAAAAAACCCAAGAATAAGCATGGATAAATAAACTCCCCGTGATCCGCACGGCACGAGGGAGGCCCTCATCCAGCAGCTGATCGACAAAAGCCTTACATGCACATTAGGTCAATTAAGCCGATTTTCTGTTCTGAGATGTCTGAAAGTTGCAGGGTGGTGGGTGTCCCGTTCATCGCTCAATCTCAACGTGCAAGCAGATCAGCGTTAATTTTATTTAGAGAGGCATAGTGCCACAGAACCGCAGCGACACGACCGCACTCTATGATAGCTGGCACCAAACAGTGCCACACGCCCTCCAGCATGGCCTTATGGGAGCCTCGGTACCGATAAAGTTATTTAAAAAATTCTTCCGGTATAGTTTTGATGATGTACACGTCCACCGTCGGAACGGAATCGGAAGAAAAAGTTACGACGTACGAGTACATTATCGGAACGGCAGAGGGGTTACGCTCTCCGATGCGTTTTCGGGTTGCACCGCGCGTTGTTCAGCAAAGATATCCGACGTTTCGCTCCACGCGCCGGGAACTTCTCCGTGCAACGGAAGCTCTCGGGGCCCGTGCGCCGAACCCGTCGGACATCGCGCCGAACAACGACGCGTCGGGTACCAACCCCCTTGACAACGGCATCAGACCGGCTCGCGCGCATCACGGCCGCCAGCGGCGCGCGGAAAAAAAGAAACGCGCCAACGCGGCCGCTCACCCGTCCCGCGCAGGTTCTGCACGCAGAGCGCGAACCCTCGCGTGCGGGGGAGCAGGTGGTGCTTGAGCTTGGGCAGCCCCTTCCTCTCCGCCACCTCCATGCTGATGGCGTGCTTCTCCGGTGTGAAGCGCGTGCCCTCGCAGTGCAGGAGGAGCTGCAAGGACAGGATGTAAAGATCTAGCGTGTCGCCTTAACACACTTTCCGATGATGCGCTTCTGCGGCCGTCTGGAACACTACAAAGAACAAGAGAAAGATCCCCTGTAGAGCCTTTACAGACGATAAGATGTACTTCTGAGCTCATCTAGAGCGCGACAAAGACAAGACAAACATCGCCCGCGTCGCTTCAACAGACTTTCAGATGCGCTTCTGCGGCCATCTGGAACGCTCTTCCTTCTCATGAAGGCGGGAACGGCACGGGAGGGGGCGGGTGGCCAGCACCACGCCCAGCCGCCTTTGTCTCCCCAATGCTGAGGTTTAAACACCGTACCGGGGCTCTCATTTGAGGCCAAGTTTGCCGCAGGGAGACCCAGGAGCTGTTGAGATATTCGTCATCGACGTTGGCTGTGAGCAGGAACTGAATTCGGGTCGCCAAGCGCATAGCACAGTGCGATGACCACGGCACTAGCACGCCCCACCACCAAAGATCCCCCATATAGCCTTAGCAGAAGTTTGGGGCAAGTGATGTCAGTGAGCACCTCCCGACCATACACAAAGACAAAGACAAAGATCCCCTGTATAGCCTTAACAGACTGTAGGGTCAAGTGCTGTTAGCGAGCACCTATGAAGGCCGGAACGGTACACGAGGGGGTGGGTGGCCAGCACCACGCCCGACCGCCTTTGTCTCCCTAGTGGCAATGTTTACACACCGCACCAGGTACTCATTTGAGGCTGAGTCGACCTAGGGGAGGCCCGGGACCGGTTCAGATAATCGTCACTGATGTTGGCAGTGAGCGGGAATCGAACCCGTGTCGCCGGGTTCATAGCGCAGCGCGCTAACCGCTACACTATACACACACACAGACAGACGCACGAACACAACAGGGTTCGTGAGTGTGAGCGCGCGTACCCAGAAGTTCTCAGGGTAGTCACGCAGCCTCTGCAGGTCCCGTGCCACAGTCACACTGTCTTCGGCCCAGCTGCGCTTGCAAAACACGATCTCCAGGAAGAACCAGGACCAGCCGATGAGCGGCACGTACGAGAGCTGCTTCTTGGCCAGCACCTTCGAGCTCTGGCGACGCACGCGCAGACACGGCGAGGGCTCGTGATGTGGCCTCACTGCCATCGCAACCAACACCACCACCAAAGGCAAAAGATGTCGCGTATAACCTGAAGTGCTGTTAAGCGAGTGCCTATGAAGGCTGGCATGGTACCAGTGCTGGATTAAGCTAGTGCGGGGCCTGTAGCATATGTTATAAAGGGACCCTAACTTAAAAAAAAAACACAAATATTAAAACATAAATATTTAATTTGCACAGTTAAGTTATTGTATTTTTCATTTCCGAAACAGCCAGATAATACGACACATCGCTAACCTTAAACACCCAGTCGTTCGTAAAAGTCTAAGGCAGTATAGTACTATAGTAATAGAGCAAGTGCAGAATCACTGAACCGGAATTGATAGCTTGAAAGCATTTAGCGCGGGGCCCTTTAAAGTGCGGGGCCTGTAGCATATGATACTTTTGCTACTACGATAATCCGGCACTGCACGGTACACAAGAGGGTGGGTTGCCAGTACCGCGACCAGCGGCCGCCTTTGTCTCCTTAGTGGCGATGTTCACACACGGCACCAGGTACTCATTTGAGGCTGAGTCGACCTAGAAGAAGCTCAGGACCGGTTCAGATAATCGTTACTGGTGTTGGCCGTGGGAGGGAACCGAACTCGGGTCACCGGGTTCGTAGCACGACGCGCTAACCGCTGCACTACCGCTCCACAAATACCACAACCACCACCAACGCTATGACCACCAACACAACAAATACTATCAATACCATCACTACAATCACTACCATCACATACATGACCACCACTATTGTTGACACCACCAATATATCTCCACTTTGAAAACTAATTTCTATATTTAGTTTGTTGTCCTTCACCCGCACCTCTGATTAGCACGGTTGGCTACGTACAGTGCAAAAGAAGTTTAATATATATACAGACACTTACAGCCACTTACACTATGGATACAGATAAAATCACCACTATCATTATCATCATCACCAGCAGCAGCAACACCACCACCATCTATTTTGTCTCGAATTGCATTCATTTTTTGTACTTATTTTCAAATCCTATTGGCAAAAAGCAATATGTACTAGTGCATGTACAATAACAAAAAAAGACAAGATCTGTTTCAGCACAGAAAAATAAATAACATTAGCCCCATAGCCCCCCCCGCCCCCCCACGAATGATGATGATGATCTTTTGCGAATGCTGTGAAATTGTATTGCGGCTTGCGATCAGATACACCTCACCGGTTTCTTCGTCCCGATGACTCGCACGCTCGGTGAGAATCGCGCGCGGATATACCCCGGTCGTCATTTAGTCGCGGCTTTTATAATTTTCGTGCCCTCTGTTTTTGAAAGGCAGTTTTCAAGGGCGCGGACGGGGGGCAGATCGCTTCGCCTTAAACATTTGCCGCCGCAGGATCGTGGACCGCAGCGGGAACGCACCGCACACTGCACTTCTAGCCGACCCGCACTCTTACAACACGGCGCGGTCACGAGCGCACGCCAGGGCCGGTAGGTATGCGACGACGATCCGCGGTTTCATAGCGATTCATATGCTCGTGATACATGCACCAAAATCATACGCGAATGAATCGATAGTTTATAATAACTGAAAACTATATTTACCAGGTAAGGCCCACTCAGCTACACAGCGCTTTGTCAGGATCTGGCCAAACGAGAGCTCAAGGTCGTTGCCTGTCGAGTGGAAATCTATAGCGGCCAGACGAGAGAATGAAGGAGGGGGTGATGAAAGGAAGGGGGGGGGGGGGGGAGAAGGAGATGAAAGGAGAAGCAAGAAGACGTGAGATAGGGACCGGGAGGAGCCGAGTCGAAGAGGGGAACATGGAGCACAAAAGAGGAGAAAACAAAGAGAAGATGAATGGAGCAGAGAGAAGAAGTGGATGGAGGAGAGAGAGGAAAAAAAAAAAGAAAAGAGGTCGGAGCAGAAGACCCCTCTCACCCCTCTCACCCCTCTCACCCCTCTCACCCCAAAGGGGACCCCCCCCCACGCCTGCTCACCCCGAGCACCCCAAAGCGCTCGCAGACGGTCCAGCCGCACAGGAAGTCGATCTCGAAGTTGTGGTTGAGCACGACGATGGCGTGCTCCTTGCCAAAGTGCTCGTAGGTCTGCGGGTCCGTGTAGATGGTGCAGCTGGTGCCCGACCACCACTCCAGCAACAACACCAGCTCTGCGGTGGAGACGGGGGGGGGCGGCGGATGCATTGGACAAGGAAGAAAAATTATGCATATGCATGGATTCTGTAACAATTCCCCCCCCCCCGCCACGGTTTCCCTACAGCTCTCATCTCACTCTAGTTATCCGTTTGCCTATAAGTCTCGTATCCTAGTCCAACATCGCTATCTACCAGTCCCCTGTCACTGTCTGTCGTCTCATCATGCATGCTCACCATGTCTCCCTCTGTGTCTTCACGCTGCTGTGTCTCCCCCTCCATTTATCCCCCATTCTCTCCCCCTCGCGCCTCCACCGTTTCCGCCTAAAGCGTTGTCCACCCTGCGTCTCCACCCCACCTCGTCTCCCGCGTGTCTCCCCATCCCCAGTCAACCCCCCGCCCCTCCACTCCTCTCTCTCTCCCCATGTCAGCCCCGTGTCTCCCTCCCTCCCGTGTCCCCATCACTCACGGCTCCACCGTTTCCCCCTAAAGCGTTGTCCACCCTGCGTCTCCACCCCACCACATCTCTCACGTATCTCCCCACACCCACTCCTGTCTCCCACCCGATGTGACCCCCGTGTCCCCGCCCCCCACCAGCACCACCACCCCCCCCACCGTGTCCCCATCACTCACGGCTCCAGTGCGAGTAGGCGAGGCGGCAGTTGACGTGGCGGTAGAGCGTGCGGTTGATGGGCCACAGAGGCAGCGTGCACAGCTGCAGGAAGTTCACGATGAGGCCGCTCACCAAGAAGATGTAGCCGATGAGGAGGTGCAGCACAAACTGTGACTTGATGAAGCTGGACAGGCCCATGGTGGATGGACGTGCGGACGATGCTACAACCTGACAGCCACACACACAGAGATAAAGATAGCGCTTGACACACACCAAATAAACAAAGACCCCCCCCCCCCATTCAGCCTTTTCAGGCCGTTGGGACGAGTACCGTTAGCGAGCACCGATTAAAGCCGGCACGGTGCATGAGGTGGTGGGGTGGTCAGTAACAAGATGCACACAACAACAACAACAACCGCCATTCGCCACTAAGCAGCAGTGGTGTCACCACGGCTCGTGCCAGGCTAGGTGCACCTGGAGGCCATATGAAGTGTCGAAGGCTCGCTGCTGACAGCCGGTCACGGAACAGACCCCGGTGCCACGGGTTGATGGCGATGACTGGCAGACACCACCTATGCTACCCTACTATGCTAACCTGGTGCATTTTAGCCACCCGGTGATCCGCTAATTATTGTGAGAAACACACAAAGACAAAGATCCCCCGTATAGGCTGAACAGACTTTTGGGGAATGTGCTGTTCGCGAGGACCTATGAAGGCTGGCACGGCACACGATGTGGGTGAGTGGCCAGCACCACGCCCGGCCGCCTTTGTCTCACTCATGGCAATGTTTTGACACCATCCCAGATATTCATTTGCGACTGAGTTGACCTAGGGGAGGCCCAGGACTGGTTCAGATAATCGTCACCGGTGTTGGCCGTGAGCGGGAATCTATCCCGCGTTGCCGGTTTTACAGTGCAGTGTGCTAACCACTACATAACCGCTACTGACACACCCACACACAAAGACACACAGACACACACACATAATCACATACACATCAATGCAGAACATAATTAAAATGCAGGCGTCGCTTTGAAGGGTTCTCAAATGACCCCTGGATACGTGTCTCGTGACATGAGGCTGACAGCACAATCACATTAACACGAGTGAAGAAGCGAAAACTCTATGCAAGTGAAGTACCGGTGAAGACACTTGACGCCGAGGTGGAGGCACACGGATATTTATTCAACACAACTCGTATGTGACATACAGCACTGGAGGGGGTATCGGCCCCCTCACCCGACTAGCTCAAGGATACACTTCCTGGCTAAGTCCTAGCCTACCTCACAGTCCTCCACTACTGGGCTAGGGGAGGCTACTTGGCCCGACACTGGTAAGTCGGGCCGGTACCCGGAGTCCCAGACCAGCTCTTAGAAGAGCACCGGCTCTGGCTTTCGGGACCACGCCGCTGGCTCGGTCCTGTTCGGCCCTGACAAGGACATCGAACGAGGGAGTCCAGGGCTCTATCTAAGACGTCTTCAGTCTTCTTAGTTAACTATAACATAACTAACTCCCGAGCCCATATAACGTCCCCTTTTATACCCAACCCTCCTTGAGGGGTGGGGCCCCGGGGGATCATAACGCCAAACCAGCCCCCCCCAGGGTGTCTGGCTCGGACGTCGCAGAGGGCATCTCCCTGTGCACACACGTAGCCCCGCCCACTGTGTTTCTTTCCCATAGACTGCCATACATAACGGCCCTCTCTCTAACATCCCTACATCACTCCCCCCTACATAGCTCGCAGCCGTCCCGGCTGCCAACATACAGAATGACAATAAAAATGAATTTTTACCGTAACCGCGCGTGTGCCTCACTAATTATCAACAATAACAAGAACGGTAACAAGAACACAAAAAAAATGCAACAGCAAGAAGAAAAAAACAACCCGACGCACCCCCCCTTGAATAAATACGAATTCCGTAAGAACAAGCTATATACAATTTGCAGCGAAGCCACCATACACACAACAGCAGGTGAGCACAACGTATGTAAATTCAATGGGCAGGGAACACACCCCCCCACACAACACACAATGAACACAACATATATACACATCTTGCGGTTTCACAACAGTCTGCGCATTTTTGCGCGTGTCCTTGCGGCGGGCCCCTCACACGGGGAAACCCCGGGTGGCGGACCGTCAGGTGGTAATCGTCCGTCCCGGAGTGAGACCTCCTCTGATGCCGCGTGACTGTTGGTATCCCCAGAAGGGGTGGTCGGGCGTGAGCCCGTCAGTCTCGATGCACCTGGAGGTGGCACGGCCGGCAAGGCATTAGGTGAGCGCGGTGGAGACGGACCTAGTGAGTCGGTCGACCCCCCACACGTCTGGCCACGCATGTGTGAAGTGGGTTTGCGTACCGCGACGAAGGGTTTCAACCGAGAGGGGTGCACGAACCATCGCCGCTTCCCCCAACGAATGCGCACGCACTGTGGTCGCAAGACCTCGACCACTTCCACAGGGCCCCGCCACGGCCGCGCCAGCTTAGGGGAGGTAGCCAGGGGCACTTGGGGACAGTGCAACCATGCCCTGTCCCCCGGTTTCCACTGTATTACATGCGCCCGACCCAGCCTGAGGCGCTCGTTCGCCCTTTTGACGTTGGTCCGAGTTCAACCTCGCAGCATCCCGCGCCTCTGTTAATTTAGCCAGATTAAATTTGACGTGGTCAGCCAATTTAGTTTTTCCTTGCGGGTCGGGGATCTGCAGCTGGGCGCGAACAGGCGGGTCGGGTTCGCGACCGTACATAAGGTAAAAGGGGGAAAATCCCGTAGCTGCATGGGGTGCCATCCGGTATGCCGCCAAGACCCCCTGAATATGCAGGTCCCAATCAGTCTGTGAATCTGAGACCTGCTGTGCCATCATTGACGAAATGGTGCGATGCAGGCGCTCGACCATTCCGTCAGTCTGTGGGTGATACGGGGAGGTCCGAATTTTCTTTGTGCCTAAGAGGTCACAGACTTGTTTAAGTAATTTGCTGGAAAAATTTTTACCCTGGTCGGTCAGCAGCCGTTCCGGAGCACCTTTGTCCAGGACGTATCCCTGAACAAAGGCGTCCACGATGGCTGCTGCCGACTGGTTGGCAAGGGGCCAGGCCATGGGCCAGCGCGTAAAATACTCGACCCCTGTCAGCAAATACCTATTGCCCCTGGGGGTGGCGGGAAATGGGCCCAAGATGTCCAGCGCGACAAGCTCATTTATTCTGGACACCTTGATTGATTGTAAAGGCGGGTTAGACTCCCGTGCCGGCGGTTTCCGTTGCGCACACCGCGGGCATGAACTCAAAAGATCCCCCACATCCTTTGTCATACCAGGCCAAAAAAAATCTAGTTGTATCAGTGCAAGGGTCTTTAGAGTCCCCAGATGTAACAGGCGCTCATGCGCGGCCCACACCACTTTGCCTCGCAACTCAGAAGGGACGACCAGCCGATGTCGCTGTGATTTGCCGTCCCAATGCATGAGCAGACCCTGTACCATTTCCCATGCACCTGAATCACCTTTCACCCGCCCAGCACCCCCGACGCGACGACGCCACCCGAGGAGGGAGGTATCCTCCATTTGGAGGCGCCCCCACTCAGTGACGGGCAACCCCAACAGGGAATCCCTTCCCTGTTGTTCGATCGAATTATCAGGCAGTGGTTCGTCGTCGTCGGTGGCTGCCAGGATCGGAAGCGATGCGTCCCCCGAAGGTCTGCAACGTCCCGACCCCAGGAGGCATGCACATTCCGAGGTGGTAGGCATGCGTGACAGAGCGTCCGCGTTGGTATGGCGAACGCCCTTACGGTAGGTGGTCTCAAAATCAAAATCCTGGAGAACCTCCAACCATCGAGACAACTGTCCCGATGGTTGTTGAACTCGCAGGGCATACTGTAGTGCCGCATGATCTGTGCGGACGGTGAAATGCCGACCGTACAGATATGGGCGATACTGTTGGATGAAAAAACAATTGCCAACAGTTCTCTACGGGTGACACAATATCTCTGCTCCGCAGGAGACAACACCCGACTACCGTACGCGACCACCCGTTCAACGCCATCAACCACCTGGGAAAGCACACCCCCAATACCCGTGTTGCTCGCATCGGTGTCGAGCAAAAAGGGCTTCGAAAAATCAGGGTAAATCAAGGGAGGGGCTTTTACCAGGGCGTCCCGAAGGGAGCGGAACGCAGCCTCCTCCTCTGGACCCCAGTGGAACCGAACCCCTTTAGATGTTAAAGCGTGCAGGGGTTTAGCAATTGTTGCAAAATCAGCAACAAACCGTCGATAATACGACGCGAACCCAATGAAACTCCTGACCTCTCCCACCGAGGTGGGAGTCGGCCAGGAGCTGACACACTGCGTTTTGGCGGGATCGGTAGCAATACCTGAGCGTCCCACGATGTGCCCCAAATAACGCACCGAATCACGCAACAAATGGCATTTTTGGGGCTTGAATTTCAAATTAGCAGCCCGCATCTTTAGGAAAACCGCCCGCAACCTCTGGAGATGTTCATCAAAAGTTTTACCAAAGACGATAACGTCATCCAAATAAATGAGGCACGACTCCCATTGCAGTCCAGCCAAAACCAATTCCATTAAACGCTGGAAAGTTGCCGGCGCTGAGTGTAAGCCCATCGGCAACCGGTTGAATTGAAACAAGCCGTGCGGTGTACGAAAAGCAGTTTTAGGCTTTGACTCATCATCCAGAGGAAGCTGCCAGAATCCCGAAAGTAAATCGAGTGTGGAAAAGAATCGCGCTCCCGCCAAGGCGTCAAGCGATTCATCCATCCGAGGGAGCGGGTATGCGTCGGCAACCGAAATTTTATTAAGACGCCGGAAGTCAACGCAAAACCGCAACGAACCGTCCTGCTTTTTAACCAGGACGATCGGCGCTCCCCAAGGGCTGGTGGAAGGAGAAATGATGTCTGCGGCCAACATGTCATCAACAGCCGATTTGACATGGTCCTTTTCGGCGGGACTCAACCGAAACGGATTTTGGCGAATTGGCGCGCTGTCACCCGTGTCAATATGGTGACGCAGCAAGTGAGTACAACCCAAATCATATTTATTTCGACTAAAAACGTCGGAAAATTCTCGCAGTAGTGTTTTAAGTTGTTGACGCTCTGAATCGGACAGGTCCGTCGATCCCGCACAAAGCGCCTCGAGCCACCCTTCATCGCTGTCCGAATGCGGTCGCGACGCAGGGACAGTGTTGACGCGATTTACGGCGGGTTCCTCACACGGCACCGGCGTT